GAAGTTGGGATTACATATTTTCATCATTGTTGGACTTCCAAATCAGGAATATATAGTTGACAATCTCGCTGGCCACCCCATCATTTGGATAAACTTAATGGGTGAAAAGGACGAAAAGGGAAAAAAAATAATGATCACAGAGAGCAAAATTTAGGGTGCTTCATACAGATATGATTGATGAATATCTAACAGCAAGTTCAACACTTGAGGCAACAAATAAGGGAAGTATTCATGAACGTCAAAATACATCATCCTTTCTTTGATATATCCATTTGCAAAGGCAAGTTTTTTAGATGCTGAAAAACTTCCAATATGCCATATTACATTGCCAGAATGATCTTCTTTATTAAACCAAAAAATTGTGCCAAAATATTAATGCTTTAATGATCATATTGTCTCAACTTTCTTGAAATTCTTCAGTTGTGTTTGATGATATGTGATATCATACACAAAATAGCAATTAGTGTTTCTATCTTGCTATTATCAGAACAAAGAATAAATTTTGCGCATAAAATCCCGGGTTGGTACCTGATTATACAACATACCTTTTTCTGCTTCTGAATCATGAATTGATTGACGATCAAGGATCTTTATTGCAACCTTAATCCCTGTCAAAGTATGAAGTGCAAGTTTCACTTTACCAAATGCTCCAATACCAAGGGTCTTCCCCAACTTATAGTTTGAAATATTGGTTTTAGAGGATGTGCTGCCCTTTGCATAAATTCTATCCATCTTACAGCTGCCGAGAATGTGTAACCATGCATTATATAGTAGCAATGATCCACAAAAGAAACCAACTAAATAAAAAAAGGCATAATAGAAGGCAACTATGCATTTGGGTGGAACCCAAAACTAAAGCAAAATCTAGCATGTCATACGTAATTTGAAGGAACAGCTAAAAACTATACACGCTTATGAACCATTCACAACAGAACATTAGTTCCTGCAATTTTGAGGATGGGCACTAATAGTAATATTTGGGAGGAAAAGAAATAGCATTTGGAATGGCAACATTTAAGTACAACAGAACTAGGGAATATGAATACTTACAATACATATCTAAGATTAATTCAGAACACGCACTAAATTGTAATTCAAATAAAATCATTTGTGTTGTGATTGTGGCCATTCCTTGAAAATGATAAATGGGCATTCATAGAGGTGCATATGGTGGATACAAACATGCATCTACCATGCCTGGTTTTTAGTCTCAGTACTTTATTGCACACTGAATATGAGTACCTTGACCTCATTGAGGATAACAGCAAAATTAAACTATAAATTACATTGGTCGTGACTCGTGAGGATGATAATGATCATGTGGGCAGGGCAAAAAACACAGTTTACGATGATAAGCATATTACTGAAGCAACAGCCGATTTACTTACTAAATCGAAATTTCTCAACTAGAATTTTCAAACAAACTTGTCAACCTATATGTACTTGTATACTCTTATTATACAATGTTTTTCACCCTTGAGGTTCCAAAAAATAAGTAGAAAGCAGTCTATCATCAAAGATATCAAGACCATCTTTCAAACGGCAAGCAAAGATATTACTGGAGGCCAATACACACTGTTTGCTAAGAAAAACAAGCATTTTGAATGCAATTACACAGTTAATTAAATAGTAGAGATCAATAGAAGCTGAACGATGATTATACTTAAACACAAAGAGAAATTTGATACAACATTCCACAAACCCTATTCAAACAAACCATTGATGCCGTTGTACATACCAATTTACAGTTGCAGCAGTTTTCGGAAGAGATGATCCTGGATAAAAGAACGCAGAGGACAACAAAAGGAGATCAACGTTAGTGAATTGATTTTCTAATAATTTATAATCATATTTATTATACCCTTGTTGATCAGCACAACAACTAAACAAAGCAACCTTGAATATAACGTCAAAATCAAACAAAACAAGGACATACAGACATAAATGTATTATATACAGAGTGAGCGGAAGCTTACAAAAGTGAAGAAGAGTGGTGGACATGCATATGATGAAGCTTCAAACTCTCACTTGAGACAGTGACAGCTACTAAAGCAAGAAAGGAAGAGTAGTGCGCACATTAAATTCATGAGCAATGTTCTGGATTGACTGTCGGGTGTCGATCGAATCATATCATTAATCAAACCACANACTCTCACTTGAGACAGTGACAGCTACTAAAGCAAGAAAGGAAGAGTAGTGCGCACAATAAATTCATGAGCAATGTTCTGGATTGACTGTCAGGTGTCGATCGAATCATATCATTAAGGCGATCCGTAAATAACATGTGTTTTTTTCATTTTATTTTTTACATGACCATTTAATATTGTTGATGAAATTTAATTAAAAATTGCAATTATTTACTCATATATTTTATGCTATAGTTTAAATTATGGTGATATCACATCATCGTGGTGGTATCACCGATCAATGATAATACACCATGCNTTTACTCATATATTTTATGCTATAGTTTAAATTATGGTGATATCACATCATCGTGGTATCACCGATCCATGATAATACACCATGTGTATGTAATTGATCTTACTATTTTAATAATTTTTAATAAACACTAGTTAATATAACATTATATAAAAAGAAACCATATGGCTTGATGTTTAACAAAGAATATTTTGCCAAACAAAAAAATTATAATTTTTGAAGGGTAAATTATAATTTTTTTTGATATGAAAGCTATAATTTCAAAAAACACGATCGATCATAAAATGTTATGATTGATATCGCATTTATCACGAATGTTTGTGATTTATCATAACTTCCTTTTAACAATTATAATTTATTTTTTTGAAATTATAATNAGCTATAATTTCAAAAAACACGATCGATCATAAAATGTTATGATTGATATCGCATTTTTCATGATCGATCACGAATGTTTGTGATTTATCATAACCTCCTTTTAACAATTATAATTTTTTTTTTTGAAATTATAACTTTACCATATAAAAATAGTAACAGGCATACTGATGCCAATTTTTTTTTTTAGGGGATACTATAGAGAAATAAAATTATGATACTAAAGAAATGTGAGTATTATGCCGAGGTTAATCGAGTGTTATTGATTTCAGTTCAATTAGTTTGTAACCATTAACTATAAAAAAAAATCATATAAAATGATAAAATTGAAAAACTCTTTACACGCGNTTAGGGGATACTATAGAGAAATAAAATTATGATACTAAAGAAATGTGAGTATTATGCCAAGGTTAATCGAGTGTTATTGATTTCAGTTCAATTAATTTGTAACCATTAACTATAAAAAAAAATCATATAAAATGATAAAATTGAAAAACTCTTTACACGCATTAAAATTTTAATAGATGAAAAATAAAGTATGGTACCCCAAAAAATAAAAAAGAAATTACTAAGGGGCTGATGGTAAAAAAAAAGTATATTCATTAAACGATCTTCAATTCGTACCTAAACTCTTACCTAAATTTAAGAAAAAATAAAATAAAAATTTTTAATTTGATATAAAAGTCTCTAATAGACAAACTATTTTTAGTCCTTAAATCTTTTTGAAAAAATTTCACATTATCTCAATTGAAGCATTTCTGTTNACCCCAAAAAATAAAAAAGAAATTACTAAGGGGCTGATGGTAAAAAAAAAGTATATTTATTAAACGATCTTCAATTCGTACCTAAACTCTTACCTAAATTAAGAAAAATAAAAAATAAAAAATTTTAATTTGATATAAAAGTCTCTAATAGACAAACTATTTTTTGTCCTCAAATCTTTTTGAAAAATTTTCACATTATCTCANACCTAAACTCTTACCTAAATTTAAGAAAAAATAAAATAAAAATTTTTAATTTGATATAAAAGTCTCTAATAGACAAACTATTTTTAGTCCTTAAATCTTTTTGAAAAAATTTCACATTATCTCAATTGAAGCATTTCTGTTATTGTAATACGCTTTGTCAATCTCACATTCGTTGTTGATGTCCAACGTAGGTAGTTACTGTACGGATTCGTTTCATTCTCTGTTGCTCTTTCTTTTCCCTCCTTTCATTTTCTCTATCCATTTATCTATTTGTCAATGCTTATATTAATGGAGGCAAAATGATCTTTCTCTTTTTGTCGAATTATAATAAAACGTAAAAATTTAATGTTCGTTACCTGTGCTTTATCTTCTCTTTTAATGAAAANCTCTGTTGCTCTTTCTTTTCCCTCCTTTCATTTTCTCTATCCATTTATCTATTTGTCGATGCTTATATTAATGGAGGCAAAATGATCTTTCTCTTTTTGTCGAATTATAATAAAACGTAGAAATTTAATGTTCGCTACCTGTGCTTTATCTTCTCTTTTAATGAAAATTTTTGAGAGAGTGTATGTATTTACATAATGTTCACCGGCTAACAATGAATTAAAGTAATGTGAAAATGAGAGGGAACAATTTTTTTTATCATTAAATTTTTGAGTATGGTTTTGAATCTCCTTTGAGTTTAAAATAGAGTCTTCTTTCATTTATATAAGTTTTGGTATAAATATTGAAGAATATTTTAGCTTTTTTTAGCTTAATTTAAATTTAAATAAATTAAAAAAAAAAAAAAAAGGGTAAGAATTGGAGATGCTAACAGCTAGCTCTTTTCTCTGATGCCAATGGTCTGATGGTAATTGTCAATATGCCAATATAAAAAAACAGTCCTTAGAAAGGTCTTATTCACACATCAGACACACACGCTCACACTTGGCTTATAATCTTCCACTCTCTTGTCCATGACCCAAAATGGCAGAGAATAAAACAGACCAAACCCCAGAACTCACGAGCNTAAATTTAAATAAATTAAAAAAAAAAAAAAAAAGGTAAGAATTGAAGATGCTAACAGCTAGCTCTTTTCTCTGATACCAATGGTCTGATGGTAATTGTCAAAATGCCAATATAAAAAAACAGTCCTTAGAAAGGTCTTATTCACACATCAGACACACACGCTCACTCTTGGCTTATAATCTTCCACTCTCTTGTCAATGACCCAAAATGGCAGAGAATAAAACAGACCAAACCCCAGAACTCACGAGCTCAATTCACGGCGAGAAGTCAGATTCTGGCGAAAATCCGACGATTTCCACCACCACCACCACATCTAGCGAATACAAGCTGAGAAACAAAGACCCTGAAACGGATCCCCAGCCGAAGAGAAGAAAGAACTGCCCAAGTGCACTGGACAAGTTCGAAGCAATCAAGTCTTCATCAAATTCAAGCTTTTCATTCACTTTCGACACTAAAGTTGGTGGAGCTCCTGAATTCACACCCAAATTTGGATCATTTAACTTGGTGGCAGCCTCGCCAGACAACGATCGGTGTTGCCAGATTCCGGCGATCAAAGCAAAAGCCGTAGAATTGGAAGAAGCAGAGGTAATTGTGGAGAGAGAAGTTGTGGAAGTGCTGAGTGGGGTTGATGGGATCAAGAGTGTTGAGTAATGGGTTTGGTTAAAAGATCGATCATATTGATACATCGCGGCTCAGAGTAGAGAGAGCAAAAGGAGACGTCTAATTATCAACTGTCTTTCTTTGTAATTGGAGGAGACTTTTGATGTATTGATTAGCTCTGAAAACAAGGGCTTTGGGTTGGGAGCATAAAGAAACGAAATAAAACATGCTTTTTCCTTCCTTTGTATCCCATTTATGCTTTGTACAAGAATGTTAAGTTTGTTTGTTGGTGAATGGTTTTCTCACAATCTTTGCTTTGCTTCGTGCTTTTGTTTCCCAAGTAAAATAACAGACGAATTTCCAATTTTACTTCATCAACTATTTTTTTTTTTTTAATATTTTTTTGCTGGACCTCTNATAGTGTATTAAAAAGTTTCTCTCAATCCATCAAAACCTTCCTTATAGCAATAGTTTTTAACATTGTCTCAAACAAGTGGACTTTTCTCCTTTGATAATATTGTAAAAATGGTTCCATTAATTGCTTCGTAACAGTACTACCAATTTATTAAACGCAAAAGGGTGGGACCGTTAGGTCAAGCCATAGGTTTGCACGTGTAGTCATATCTTTTTATTCATTAATGCTTCCTACCACAAGAGGACTATGTGTGTGTGATCATCTACACAATAATACAACTATTATTATTGTTATCATCTATATCTATATCTCTAGTAATAAAGCATGTCAACTATTTTTCAAAAAATATATTTTTCTTACTTCTCAACAATGCAAATTATCAATTATGTCATTTTAATTTTTTGAATGTAATTAATTAGGTTATTCTGATTATTTGATGATTGTTGTGTTTTTCAACCAAAAATAAAATTCTTTCATCTTGCACTAACATCCACTTAATTGAACGTGATGTCGACGGAGGTGCTTCTCCTTTAAGTGAAACGATTATTTCTACATAACCTCTTAGAATTGGACTTTTTGCTTCTCTCTATTAATACTATACTCTTTGTGGCTCTACGGATTATGAGAATTAATGGATAAAGCTGCAATGATGGCTTACAAATCAAACAATAAATAATTGTATTTCTGCAAAATTTTACTTTTCATATTCTGCCTTATGATCCAGTTCATACTTCATAGTGTTTTAGCTTAAATAATAATGTAATCTCTAATCAAGTCTGGACACCTGTTGAACTTAAAAGAGTAGTCGACGTATATTTGAACACCCTGTAACAAAAAAAAAAAATTCTAACCCATGGATCTTTGACCTGATAATTTTTTTCTTATCTTATAAAGACTTTACTTTCTTGCCTTGTCTCGTAAATAATAGAGTAATCTCACTTTATTATTTCAAGTTGTGATAGTTTTCGCCCTCAAACTCAAACGACTGGACTTCTAGTAGTTTGATTGAAACTCTAACAAAAAAAAAAGAAGAAAAGAGAAGATTACATTAATTATTTAGTAAGAGTGATCAATTTATGAAATGCAAAGGGGTCCCTTCCGATAATACTTTCATTTATTTCATTGGGGACCGTTGAAATGGCCATAAGTTTTTTTCTACAAACCCCAAAATGCCCTTTCAACATGATAAAATAAGGAAAATTGTTGGTTTCAATTAGAAGTAACAATCTTGATATATTATCTATTAATTCGCTCATAAATAAATGGGTTGAATACTTATATTAATTAATACGAGTTCTAAATGTGTTGGGTAATATGATCCTTTCATTTTAATTAAGCAAATTAATATGAATTATAAATGGATACTCATTGGATCGAATATTCATCTTTCTGTTAAATAACGTAAGTAATAAAATCAAATAAATATATTAATATACTAAAAAATATACACATATTAATATACAAAAAAATACACACAAAAGTAATACACCAAAACACACACATCCTAACACACCAAAAATACACATTAATGACACTTGACCCATGGGACGCCCCATAATCCATGACGCAGACCCATGACCCATAATTCATGGGTCGCTCGTGATCTACGGACCAATCTATGGCCCACAGGTGATCCCAATCTATTATGTGTGTATTTTTTGTATATTAGTATGTGTGTATTTTTTGTGTATTAGTGTGCGTGTGTATTTTTAGTATATTAATGTGTGTATATTTGTATTTCGGTGTCCTAATTAGTTGTGTCAGTTCTGTCTTAATCCGAGTGAATAATAGTTTTTAGAAGTATAATTAGTTTGAAAATTTTCTTTTTTGACAAAATTTGTATTAATGGCCTAATTACGTAATTANAGATAAGAGATGGAGAGAGGAACGATCGGGTTTTGTCGACGTGAATATAGGCTGATTACTTACTTGGTAGGGAATGGGTAATAAATGATTTATTTGGGAATGACTAATCCCATGTTTTATGGGATTTGATGATGCACAAATGAATTTGCACATCACTTGTCAAGTAAGCAGTATAAATGCAGTAAAATAAGTAAAGGGAGAGAGAAGACAAGGTTTATAGTGGTTCGCTTAATATGACCTACGTTCACTTTGAATGAAAGAGTTGCCGGTATTTTATTAACTCTAGTATGTTGGAAGAGTAAAGAATTACAAGTTTTGAGAGAAAAAAGAGAGAATTATCTCAAATGAGTGTCTTTTGTCCTTCAAGTGTTGGTGAGGTTTACAATTTATAGTTGCCTTATAATGCATAGTAATTGAATGACTAATCTGACGGTCATAACAGATTGAGGTAATTTAATAGTAATTAAATAGTTGATCTGGCGGAGGTGGCGACCTTTTCTCAGCGGGCGAGTCAATTACAATACTCTCCATAGGACTCGGTCAAAGGATGAGGTGAGGATTGACTTCTTCCAGGGCAGATTGGATGAGACTCTTGGGATGACCTTTACTTCAAGGTGGCTAGGAGGAGGCTCTTGGATGACCCTTACTCTAAGGTGGTAGAAGATGTTTTTGGATGACTCTTACTTCAATGTGGCAAATAAGAGACTCTTGGTTGACCCTTACTCCAAGATGGTAGAGGAGACTCTTGCATATTCTTTGCTGATTTAGCTTCTTGATTCTTGATGAGTTTGTTCGAGTTGACCACATTGAACTGGACTTGCTAGATTTCTTAAAGATGAGCTATAAACTCGGACCGGGCTTATAATTTGATCTAAGCCCTTAGGTTTGGCCCATCAAAATTAATCATTCTTTAAGAATGTAAATAAAATTATATTCTCACAAACCAAATAAAGGAATGAGAATTACTAAAAAATGACTATTCCATTCCTAAGCTGCATAAGTTCATTGAATGAGTTATTAATGTTCTTTCCATATTATGGATCAAACTCAAATCCGAATACTTTCTAATACTCTTTCATTGTATTTTATTTAAGATAAGATCGATTGTCCGCCATATATGAATGATATTTTCACTTGTAAGTTGTGGGCTCTGTTTTAGTTTACAATCATTGATCTACTTTAAAGAGAAATTAAGAGATAGTGTATTAAAAAGTTTCTCTCAATCCATCAAAACCTTCCTTATAGCAATAGTTTTTAACATTGTCTCAAACAAGTGGACTTTTCTCCTTTGATAATATTGTAAAAATGGTTCCATTAATTGCTTCGTAACAGTACTACCAATTTATTAAACGCAAAAGGGTGGGACCGTTAGGTCAAGCCATAGGTTTGCACGTGTAGTCATATCTTTTTATTCATTAATGCTTCCTACCACAAGAGGACTATGTGTGTGTGATCATCTACACAATAATACAACTATTATTATTGTTATCATCTATATCTATATCTCTAGTAATAAAGCATGTCAACTATTTTTCAAAAAATATATTTTTCTTACTTCTCAACAATGCAAATTATCAATTATGTCATTTTAATTTTTTGAATGTAATTAATTAGGTTATTCTGATTATTTGATGATTGTTGTGTTTTTCAACCAAAAATAAAATTCTTTCATCTTGCACTAACATCCACTTAATTGAACGTGATGTCGACGGAGGTGCTTCTCCTTTAAGTGAAACGATTATTTCTACATAACCTCTTAGAATTGGACTTTTTGCTTCTCTCTATTAATACTATACTCTTTGTGGCTCTACGGATTATGAGAATTAATGGATAAAGCTGCAATGATGGCTTACAAATCAAACAATAAATAATTGTATTTCTGCAAAATTTTACTTTTCATATTCTGCCTTATGATCCAGTTCATACTTCATAGTGTTTTAGCTTAAATAATAATGTAATCTCTAATCAAGTCTGGACACCTGTTGAACTTAAAAGAGTAGTCGACGTATATTTGAACACCCTGTAACAAAAAAAAAAAATTCTAACCCATGGATCTTTGACCTGATAATTTTTTTCTTATCTTATAAAGACTTTACTTTCTTGCCTTGTCTCGTAAATAATAGAGTAATCTCACTTTATTATTTCAAGTTGTGATAGTTTTCGCCCTCAAACTCAAACGACTGGACTTCTAGTAGTTTGATTGAAACTCTAACAAAAAAAAAAGAAGAAAAGAGAAGATTACATTAATTATTTAGTAAGAGTGATCAATTTATGAAATGCAAAGGGGTCCCTTCCGATAATACTTTCATTTATTTCATTGGGGACCGTTGAAATGGCCATAAGTTTTTTTCTACAAACCCCAAAATGCCCTTTCAACATGATAAAATAAGGAAAATTGTTGGTTTCAATTAGAAGTAACAATCTTGATATATTATCTATTAATTCGCTCATAAATAAATGGGTTGAATACTTATATTAATTAATACGAGTTCTAAATGTGTTGGGTAATATGATCCTTTCATTTTAATTAAGCAAATTAATATGAATTATAAATGGATACTCATTGGATCGAATATTCATCTTTCTGTTAAATAACGTAAGTAATAAAATCAAATAAATATATTAATATACTAAAAAATATACACATATTAATATACAAAAAAATACACACAAAAGTAATACACCAAAATACACACATCCTAACACACCAAAAATACACATTAATGACACTTGACCCATGGGACGCCCCATAATCCATGACGCAGACCCA